GGAAAAAAAAAAAAAAAAAAAAGGTAGAAATGTAGGTCCCCGGAATTGGGGGTTTTTGCTGGGAGGATCCAGGAGTCCTTTTCACATTCTAGCTTCAAACCTTGGACCTAACCAGAACATTCTCCGCCTGGATGAAGTATCCACATTGTTTCCTTGAGGCCTTGTGGGGCAGTTCTTCTATCTTTGGTCTAGGAGAGGAGCCCCACGGTCTTCCTCTTTGGCAGGGCTAGAGAAAGTGTTCTCATTTTTCCCAATCAGTGCCATCAAGCCAGTGCCAGAAATGAACAATAACCAGAATCGCCATGTGCTCTTGGGACCGCCCCATTCATGCCTCAGTTCCCCTTCTCTGGGCTCCTTCTCCTTGCAGTCTCCTTGGGGGGCTGATGCCCGGGCTCACTGTGGTGTAGAGTGAGTTACACTTCTGTGAAGAGTCTCCGCTGCGTCCAGGGAGCTCCAGCTCCAGACAGCCACATGAGCCTGCTCTGGCTGCCAAGCTGGAGGCCCTTGCTGCTCACGGTGGGCACGAAGGGAAGTGACTTCCTGTGTCAATGGTGGTGCCTTCTTCCTCTGTACGCCTGAGCGGCACGGGTGGGTCGGCACAGGTGGAGGCCTATCCTGACATTAGTGACGAGTGCTTTTCAGAATCCTGTCTTTCACCTGTTCTCTCACACATAGCAGCCATTTCACCCTGGATCTGCCTTGGATTAGGGAGCTGCTGCCCTGACCTGGGATGATGCTAGGACTGAGGGAAGTGTCGGGTGCCTGTGGGTGGCCTGCAGCCAGGGAGGGAGAGCAGCGTGGGGTCTGGGGAGTGGCGAGATACAGGCGGAAGGCAGGCATGGAGGAGTGTCTTGACCATTTTCAGTTCTTCCCTGAAGTCTGTGATTGTCTTTGGGTCTTATGAGGTAGATATTCTTACGTCACTTTAGTAAATTTTTTTTTTGTCAATTCTAGTTAGATCCTGTTACTTACAAGACTCCTGCTGAACATGGGGTTAATATATAAAAAGAATTACGGTGGACTTGGGTCCATGGCAGCAATGTGCTGAAAAGGGAGCTTGCCTGCTGCCAGAAGGCAAGCTCAGTGATCGCACACAGTTTGAGGCCATTAGGAATCCGTTTCCTTTCCTTATAACATTAGCTCCACATATTTGAAAAAGAAGTCATGAAAATTTGTCTTTCCTACCCCCTGCCTGTCCTGCCTTTGAAACCACCAGCACAGCTGCTGATAGATGTGTCTTTATGTAGCATGTGCTTTGTCCTTTTGCAAAAGACAAAGAATTATTAAAAGAGCAGCCAGCTGCTTGTGTTGGCAAGAGAATGAGGAGAGCTCATCAGCATTCACTCTTCTACCCTGTCTCAGCTGAAGCATCACCGTCTCCCTCTGTCTTTATTTTGTGCTCAATTTTCCTGGTCTAGAACATAGGGATTTTGTACTTCTAACTCTGAGGGGAGAGAGCAGCCCGGCCCCTCTTTCCTGTGTTAAATGTGCCTAACACTCATGCACTGAGCAAGCTTGACAGTAGGAAGCTCTCCTTTCCTCAGTCTTCCCTTTCACATGCTCAAGGATCTCCTGATGTTCTATGGTGCTCACAGGAGCTTGTGAAGACTCAGTGAGACCAGGCTGTGGTCTCAAAGCTGGCTGCCCATTAGGGTAGCCGGGGCTCTAACTGTTCACATTGCCACGAAGCACCCAGTATGAGAGCCGGCGGTCAGTGCTAACCCCGAGGTAGTTCCCATATCCGGCCAGACGGAAGATCGTGAGATAGTACTTACAACAGGCAGTCAGTGAGTAAGAGCTGCTTCTAGTGACCCAGTGAAGATAGACTGGGACTCCCAAAATTTAACAGCTTGCCAAAATTGAAGATTTACCAGGACTCAAATTTATTTTTCTTGAATTCATCCATCCAACAGTGACTGGTGACTGAGAATTTACCATGTTCTGAGCTTGGTGTCAAAGTCCCCTATTCCAACTGAAAGAAAAAATATCATATTGCCCTCAAGATGGAATTCTAGCTCTTGAGGCACATCTGGGCTCCTCCACCTCTCCATGCCAGGCTGCTGTCAGCCAGTGCCATTGTCCACACGCTGGTGAGCTCCAGCTATGGGACACTCCCTGGAGTCATTCCTGGCCTGTCTGTGTCTCTGTGTCCTTCCCTATGCTAGCGGGTCCTTCTCACACTTGTGCTTTTCTGCCTGGCCCACCTCACAGGGCGGAACACCCAGGACAGCCTGCAGGACAGATGGGTGCCCAACTATTGCTGGCAGCCCTACCCCTCCACGGTAAGTGAGCCAGCTGGTGCCTCAGCCTCAGGGTCCTTCAGGCACCCTGTAGTGGGTGACCAGATCTCCAGGTCTCTTCTACAGCAGCGCTGGACAGCACTGTCCTGAGCTCCCTGTTGCAGGCCTCACTCTGGTATGCGTCTGCTTCATCTCTCTCCCTTCTCTGCCTCTGTTGTTCCAGGACCCCATGATGTGGTGTCCCAGAGCCCCTCAGAAGGAGAGAGTTCTTCTCAAACCATCCGTGGGAGCATGGCCACTTACAGCAGTTACATGGAAAGGCCTAGGAAGCTGGAGGCTGGGTCTCCTGTGCCTCTTCATGAACCCTCCTGAGGCTGGCAACCCTGGTGAGTACATGACTTTGAGATCATAGGGAGTCTCTGTTCTGCTTCCTCCAGAGGAGAGACTGTCAGACAGGGGAGGGACTCTTGGCGATGCTATGGTGGTGGAAAATTCCACTGAACCAAGACTGTTAGGGGTCTTCTGCCCCTTCCTGGCCATGAGCTGACTTAGAGGGCTTTCTTTCCACCTCTGCCAGGAGGTAGCCCCCAGGATATAGCTGTGCAAGTCCAGGTCACAGAGGTATTTCTGCAGGGCCTGGCCAGGAAGGCCTTACTCTTTCAGTACATACCCACATCTTTGCCCTTCAAGGCCCAGGCCTGTGCCCTGGGTAAAGCCCTAGACAGGCACAGGGTGATCACCCCCTTTTGCTTTGGAGAGCATGTCTGCTCTTCAAGATATATATTGTCATTGGTCATGAGAAAGGGGAAAAGAACTGAGTGTGTTTTACATGTGTTATCTAACTTAAACTTGTGCAAAAACCTATGTAGTTGGGTAGTTTTCTCAATCTCAAAAGTGGAAATAAATTTTTCCCAAGAAAACATGGTTAGAATTCCCCTCAGATTTTTCTGTGGTACAAACAACCCCAAAATTAGTTGCTTAAAAGCCATAACTTATCTGGCTTATAGTTTTTAGGACTATCTGGCTGTTGGGTGGTTTGTTGAGATGGGGTAGAATGGCTGTATGGTCTCTCCGTCCGCAGGCCAGCAGGTAGGGTTCCACGGGGAAGGGTGGGTGGGTGCGAGGTCTCTTGACATCAAGGTTTGGGACTGAAACTGCATCACTTCTGCCACAGTCTACTGGCTAAATAGTGTCACAGGGCTTGACTAGGTGCAAGGATGATAAAGCAGACTTCATTGCTTGATGAAAAGAACGTGAAAGTCATATTGCAGAGGGGCGCAGTGCAGATGGAAATCTGCATTTGCAGAATTGATCCACGTTTGCAACCTACTCAAGTGTTGAGTTGTATAAGTATAATTTTCTTTTTTAACTACAAAAGCAGCATACGTACCTGAGAAAGTTCAAATGGTGTACAAAAAGGAGAATGAAGCAAAGAGAGGGTCATTCCAGTCTAGTCCTACTTTCTACGAGCAACACTGATGAGAATTTCTTGTGGCCAGTGTGATGGCACATGCCTGGGGTCTCACTATTTGGGAGGCTGACGCTGGAGGATCTCCTAAGCCTGGAGATTTGAAGCCAGCCTGGTCAAAAAAGAAAGACCTTGTCTCAAAAAAATTCCTGTGCACAAGAAGCTTGTGACGGTTAATTGAGTATGTCACTTTTTTCTTTTGGTGAGACGGTCTCACCGTAGTTCAGACTGCCCTGGAACTTGCTGTGTAGTTCAGGCTGGTCTTCTTGCAGTGATTCTTCTGCCTCAACCTCCTGAGTGCTGGTATTACAAGGGTGTGCCACCACGCCTGGCTTCTAGTATGCCACTTTGAGTAAGAAACACTCAAATGAATTGCACCAGCACAGTTCCTGATGTGGCTGAGGGGAGTTACTGAAGGTTTTCTTGGATTTGCCTGGTGTGGCGTGACAGCCAATGGGCTTGCTGCCTGAATGGCATAAAATAGGAAAAAAGGAGGAAGGCACTTCTGTCCCTTAGGGGAGCGCTAGTCTCTCCTTCACCTTGGATGTTGGCTCCTGGCTTCAGCACCAACCTTCAGCCTCTTGAGATGACTCGAGTGGGATACTGCCCTGAGCTCTAGGCCTTCTGACTGGACCCTCGGGTCTCCAACGTGCAGACAGGGCTTGCTGTCTTCCGCACCTGACTCTGCAGGCAGCCATTGTGAGCCAATCTTGTACATTCTTATGTACTTGTATATCATGCTTTAAATATGTTTCTCTGGTAGTCATTGACTGATACATATACAAATGATCTAATTTTTTGGTGTGTATACATACATGAATGCACACTTTGCTCTTTTGACTTACAATGCAGATCCAGGGCTATTTTAAATCACACCGTGATCAGAAATGATCCATTCCTTTTGGTATCTGCTGTAGTAGTCAACTGAATAAAACTGGAATGTTTTATTCAGTTCAGCTACTTTTGCTGCTAGACACTTAGACTGTTTCTAGTTTTTGCTGTCACAAAAGTACTATAAGGAATATTCTTGAGCATTCTTTGTACTTGTAGATTGGATTCCTAGAGTAGAAGTTCTAGGTCTAGTGTCATGCCTGAGTCTTGGTCTATTCCCAGAGTACAGGCTCTCTCCAGGATAGGCCTCTGATTACCAGGCTTTCCCACCAGCAGGACAGAGCAGGGCTCATGTGTGACACATGCTCCGGCCTCCAAACTCTCAGTCGCTGGGTGGGCTTGAGAGGTCTCAGGCTGTGCATTGTGAAGCCCTTTCAAGAAGATCCAGGTTGGTTATCTTTTCTGTGTCTTCCTTCATGTTATTCCTTGCAAGCGTGTAGTACTTTGCTACAAGTCATGAGAAAAGAATCCAGCAATAAACACTAACATGCAGCTAATGTTCTGTGTGCATGGCCCTGATAACCAACTTTCACAATTTCTCCTGATTCCCTTGGTGGCTTTGGGGCTGTCTCAGTTCCTCACTCCTCATTTTTATTAGCTGCTTCTCCACCAACTTTGTACTTGCTCAGGGTTTTAATGGAGACTCTGGTTCTGCAGAACACACTGAAATGGCTATTTTCGCCTCAGCTAGGATTGGTTTGTTTATTTTGTTGAAAAGGGCCCAGAATTTAGGCACTCCAAAAGGCAAATGATAAGGCTCTGGATAGAGTTGTATGGTGGTTCCTGTTTACTGATAAAAAGAGACAAGGTCTTAATTGGTGCTTTTTGTGGGGGTCCTTTATCCATTGTGGAGTCTGTTAAGGACTTCATGGGTCGGGACTGGCCAAGTGACAGATGCCAGTTACACTAACTGGATGGTGCACCTTGCTATTTTCCTTCTCTGTTTGCAAAAGGCTGAGTAGTTCTGGGTTAGTATTGCCCCTGCTAAGTTCATTGCTATGGTCAGTCTCAATGGCATGTACATTTGATCCCACACTTTTCACATTGAGAAGAGCAATGATTAGAAGAAATAGCAGAGCGTCTCCAAAGTCTGTCAAACAAATAAAAGATGATCTGTTGAAAGGCTCCGTTTGTCTCACTGCCCTCACTTAGCCCATTAGCTGGTGGCAAAGGGTACCTCAAAGCCCCATTCCTGGCTGCTACTGGCTGCCAACATCCAGGAAGGCAGGTTTCTTTAAATCTGAGTGATCACGTCTGTGGATTGATTGTACTTGATTTACTTAGGCACTGTTAATAAGAGTTCTGTTAAGAAAAGAATAATGAATAACATGACAGGTGATAAATTGCTAATTGCACCAAAGTGTGTGTGTGTGTGTGTGTGTGTGTGTGTGTGTGTGTGTGTGAGAGAGAGAGAGAGAGAGAGAGAGAGAGAGAGAGAGAGAGAGAGAGAGATATTGAGATTTCTCTTGAGCATTATTTTGGTGAGGATTTCTACTACGATGGCACTCTAGCACAAAACTGTATGGTACACTGTATAATAGGATATCTAGTAACCTCATGTGGCTACTTAAGTTTAAATTAGTGAAAAATAAATGAAAGGCTGAGTTCTGTCTGGCACATTCCAAATGCTCAATAGCCCCATGTAGCTGGTCACACCGGGTAAGGGACAGTTTCATAACTGCACATAGTACCAACGATGGCTTGGTAGGCTTTAAAAGATCACTGTTTTCTGAGTATTTTATGGGTTTGGGTCCAAATCTCATTTCCTCTTGTAAGTGGCTGGATGATGGTCGAGTCATCTGATGTCCCTGAAGGCTCGGCTTGTGTCTGTCCATGGAGCAACCCTACCTGTGTGACGGGAGTGTGAGAATGACATGAGATGGTGCTTTTGAGAAGCTCGCATGAGCGCTCAGTTGCTATCAGCCTCCTTCCTGCCTTTCCTGCCAAGCTACCCATTGTACTAACCCCAGTGTCACCTGCATCGCCGGGAGCTTGGTCTGAGCTCAAATCCTGGCCAGGAGTAGAGCGCCACCTCTCCCTCAGTGGTAGAGTAGGGAACTTGTGATGTCCTGAGATCCGGAGCCTGTGGTGCCTGCCCAGGAAGGGAAGGGGCAAGTTTTCTTCTGCACACACTGCCTTCTATGTCGCTCCTCCATGGCTGCAGCCCTCGCCTGGAATCAGCAGATGTGCCAGTCAGCACCACATAGGAAGGACACTTGCCTTGGCTGGATAGTTACAGATTCAGGTCAGTGGTTCTTAGACCCTGAGGGTGTCAAAAAGCCCAGAGGCTCCACCCACAGGTGGGTTTATATGAAACTTGGATTTGCTTTTGAATTTCAAGTGCTCTGAATCCATCCTCGAATGATGGAAGCTGGAACACCTGACCTGGCAGTGATTCAGTCGGCTGTGTTCCTGGGTTACACCGGGAAGGTCTCCAGGTAGTCTTGGGGGGTATGAGAGTTCTTTATAACATCATCACAAGTGTGATTTAATTTTCAAAACAGAAGATTCATATGAGCCTTTTGTACATCATAGGTAACTGTCTCAAAATCAGCTGCAGCATGTAATTTTAGCGCCTGTGTTTGCATTTGTATTGACATCCTATTATTACCATGATTTTCAGAGCTGGCAACATTTAATTTGTGATGTAGCCCCTCTAAAACTGGGTTCTGTGGAGGTCGTTGGACATATCTAGAAGTCCAGAAGTTCCCATATTTAAGAAAATGGCCCTGTGGTCAGCGAAGGCTATTCCTGAGCAACCCCCAGGTGCGCCCAGGGCTTAGCAAGTGCATTTCACAGGGAGCCGACAGCATTCTGAGTGGAATGGTTCCTTCCAGGTAGGACATTTAGTGTTGCTGCTTTTGCCAATTAAATGCCAGATGATGCGCCAAAATCACATGACAACCCCAGATATTTGCATACATTTCAAAGGCCTCTGTGAGGTCAGTGCTGCTTGCTTTTGCATGGGAACACCAGAGCACTCCGAGCACCCCTTCATTCAAAACAGCTCAATGTCTGCCCTTTCTA